AGGATTGGGATTGTGAAATGAGCATCATTGAAATGCTGTCAATCGATCTGTTTCACAAAGAGAGGACCACATGTAAACATAGTGTGCATACTTGGAGTATGGCATAACTATTGTTTGGACGAACATAGTGTGCATGCTTGGAGCATGGAATGACTATTGTTTCAATTCAAGTATTAAGTTGATTAATCGAAACATGAATAATGAGTAATCAATATGGTGCTTAGATAAAAGGTGTTTTTATTTACACTCAAAGTGTTGGGGCCATACATGATTAGGATTATTTTTGTGTTTCACTTTGCATGTTTTGACTTCCAGAATAACTAGGTCATTCTTCCCGAATGACTAAGTTATTCAAACCATCCACAGTCGGTCATATGTTGGAAGTAGATATGAATCAAGACTGTCATAAATTTGGCTTGTATGATTTGTCTAATGTGAATTAGACATAGTAGTAGTTGCTACAACATTCATGAGTGCTCATAAGTTCTGAGTATTGGATTCAACCCACGCTCATTTGAATCACTTCATGGATTTTATCACGAGTGAATCATGAGACGATAATATCTTATATTCTTCAAACCTATAGATATGAGTTGTTGACTATGAGTTGGTTATACATTGATTGCACGTAAACGCATTGGTAACTCGATGTTATAAAACGTGCCTTTGTGTATGATTCAACAAGTAGTTAGTACAAGCATATGAGTCGAAGTTTATCTATTCCTTTTACCCTCAAAGGGATAAAAGCGATATCTATGGGCCCCTCGATGATTTAGTGATGACAAAATGTAAGTGCTCGGCCGGGCCTGGACTGATTTGATTTGTTCAATTAGTCAGTCGTCATAAATCGGAAATCGGGAAACAACAGATGGACAGAGAGAATGATTATAATCCATGTCTCAGTCCATATGATATCTAGAGTGGAAGAATATATGATTACTTATCTAATGGACGCGTCATTGATTTGTTCAGAGTTCGGCAACAGCTTTTAAGAGCTACGATTGTTGGTCAGGTTGTGAAGACGTACTTGCAATAATAGTTATTAAACTTATCCAAGTGGGAGACTGTTGGATTAGTGTCTAAGTCCATAACTATAATTGGTACATACTTGACCCCACCCGACATGGTCCATTTGGGTTGCATGGCATCATGCATTTGGATAGACTAAAATGAGAGAAATAACACTTAAGGTTTATTAATATATTATAAGTTCTAATATATTAATAAGATTATTTAATTAGTATTGATCAAGAATCAGTCTAGAATTAATTAAGTGATCAAAAGAAGACTAATTAAATATATGGGTTGATTGTGTAAATCATCCATACTTATATAGTGGGCTAAAACCCATTAGGATGCTCCATGGATGCTCCATGGTGTATTTGAACCCATGGATCCAAGGAAATGGAAAGCCATGACAATTAGGGTTTACCCTAATTGTAACAACTATATAAGCATCTTATTCTTGGAAAAATCGGCCACCATGTATGCATGAAGAGGGCTAGGCGATTTCATGAAGTGTTCATTTCTCTCTAAGTTATTCCAAGTGCATTTGATGTTGTGTGAACCATTTGAGGTGTCACATTTGGGGCACTAGGCTCTTGTGCTCCATGGAATCAAGCACCAACAAAGAGGTATGTATTTCTACTAGTTTCTATATTACTTGTACTTCATAATATGCTAGTTAGGATAAATACCTTGGAAATTGATATTTGCATGTATAATAGAGAAAACATAGATCCAAGGTATTTAGGGTTGCATGTACACCATAGGAGTGTTAGAATGCTCAAAACCCAACAACTTTATCTTCCCATCCTTAATGTCCTGCAAGTATTTAGGACAACTTCGTTTCCAATGCCCTTTTTCATGACAATAGAATCACTCTATTTCCTTTGGATTGGATGAGGGAGTAGTAGAACCACCTTTGGACCGACTAGAAGAGGATCCATCACGAGACTTTCCCCTGTGATTCTTTGAAGGAACTTTCCTTTTCTTCCCTTTATCATGTCCAATTGCCAGGACTAGGGCAGCAGCAGTAGGAGTGGGTACAACAGACTTGACTTTTAAACTACATTCAACAGTTCTCAGAAGGCCTTGAAGATTGCTTAGAGTGACTTCCTCCTTGTTCATATGATAAGTCATTCGGAACCGATCATAACAAGAAGGTAAAGAGTGTAGGATAATGTTGATAGCTTACTCTTTGTCAAAATTGACATTCAACTTTAGCAAGCGGTCCATATATCTTTGCATCTTTTGCAAGTGGGCGGTGATGGACTCTCCATCCTTCATTTTTGTTATTATCATGGAGGCAATGATTTCATACCTTTCTTGTCGAGCACTCTGATGGTACCTTTCCATCAAGTCTTGGTGTATCTTGAAAGGCAGAAGTCCTCGTAGGACTTATGAAGCTTAGAAGTCATAGTGGCTAGCATGATGCACGACACCTTTGTCGTGTCCATCTCATGAGCCCTATACTCAGCCAGTTGCTCAAGAGTAGCAGTTTCTTCATCAATCTCCTTTAGCTCTTTGTCGAGGACATATTCTTTTTCCTCGTATCGAATGGCCATGCGAAATTTTTGAATCCAGTCCTTGAAATTTGACCCATCGGAAATGACCCCCACACATAAGTTCATGAGGGAGAAAGAGTCGGAAGAGTTTGAGTTTGAAGCGTTGTTTGAGGTAGACATCTGAAAAGAAAGACAAGTTTTATTAGATAGAAATTCCTTAATATAACAACAAGATGAAATATTAAGGCTAGGACCCAAACACAATAATTCACAACTTAGAAAAGGGATGCAGTAATCTAATTGCAAATTATGTCAAGGGAGGTAAATGACGATTTACTAATTTTCACCACCCAAAACCAAAATTTAAAAGAATTAAGTTTTATGAAAATCCTAGATCTTTGACATTCATTGAAGCTTTTCAATGACATGTTTAATCTCGATTATGCCATTCAAGTTTATGACTGGGATACCAAGGATCACAAACAAGGTGTGAATAACCATGCAAATATGCTTGGTACTCTTAATGTCATTTATCACCTAATCACCGTACCGGTTAACCACACACGCTCCATTGATCTATGAAAAACATGGAGCTACACTTTGCCACCCTTGTTAGTCCAAATTAGTGTGCCGGTAAACCACACACGCTCTACTAACGACTTGGCAAGGTGCAAAGTGCAATTTCATGGAATAGCACCATTTTCACATTTTTCCTAAAGTAACTAAGATTGGGAATTTAGAAAAACATTTAGTTACTTTTATAACTATCATTATACTTTTTAATGAGAATTAATGTCCAATCCTACCCGTTCGGCTAACGACCCTCTACTAGTCAAGGGAGTGGTGGGTGAGAGTGGACACCCATTCAATCACCATTTTATAGGCAATTTCCTTATACCCCCTTATAGACCAGCTTCGTGAATGAGGCCTACTAACGGCAACACTGACTGTCTTATACATATATATATATATATATATATATATATTATATATATATATATATATATATATATATATATATATATGGGCTTAGGTTATTCTATTCAAAGTAAGTATTGTGTTATTGTATGCATAAATGTGGGCCAATCAATTTTACTTATTTTAAGTAAGTGGTTATTACATATTATTGAATTAAATATAATTCAAAAATATCATCTATTCTAACTAGAAGGGTATTTTAGTCAATTAATATAAATTTAATAAAGGAAATTTGCATATTTTATGCAATCATAGATTCTATTAATTTTAAAAATCTGATTTTATTAATTATAAAGTTTTAGATTCGGACGTTCTGACAGAATATGTTTGAGTATGTTTAAAAATAAAAATATTCTTGAACCATAAAATAATAAAAATATTTTTTGAACATATTTCTTGTCATGACTTTAAGAATTTCTTGTAGAATAACAAAATTCTCGAACCATCAATTTAAGAATTAAAACAAAAATTACATTAATTCTCATAGAATACATGTAACAATTACTAAGAATTACATATATTGTTAAAGAATAAAACTAAAAAAACTTTCAAATCTTGAAAAAAAACATCAAAATCTAACAAAGACAGGAATTCATTCTAAAAGAATAATGTTTCTAAGAGGCGTCGTTCAAATTTCGTGGTCCGTTCTTCAAGCATCAGCTTCTGTGGAAACAAATCCAATGAATAAATTAGTGAGAAAATATCCATATTCCATTCCAACATAATTGGAATTCGTGATTCCATTCGAATAGAATTGGAATTCATTTACCAATAATTATATTAACATGCCTCCATTCTTTAAGAACACAATGTCAATGACATTCTGTATGAATACATTCTGCTAGAATATACTATCGTCCCTCCATGTTTTCTTTCTTTTCATCTTCAAAACCTAAACCCACATGTCATCTGAGCTTAGCAGCTGCATAAAGTTAGGAAAAAATTAGTCACCTCGATCACCATGTCTGTAAATTAATATGGAAAAAGTGAAGTATGGTTTATCATAGCTTAACAACTGTGTATATACCTAAATTTGAAGCTGAAAGAACTTCTGGTCTCGAGCATTCTCTATATTGACTTCTGGAAAAAGTGTAAAGGTTCTTCAAGCATTCTCTATATTGACTTCTGCTCTCGAGCATAGAATTTCTTCCATAGAATCATCAGAAAATGTTTAATCACAGAGTATCATTTGAACTATGCAAAATCCCATTAATAACAAATATACCTTAATTTGGCACAACACATTCATCACCACCTGATGGGTCCCACCCGTTCTCCCCAAATCCATCTATCCATCAAAAATGACGAAAAAGCCCTTCAAGATTCAATCTTGTGAATATGAAATAGAATAAACTATAATTTCGTGTTGATTCAAATTCAGAAAATGAAAATCTCACATTGTGGCTTCACTGTGAAGAGGGCTTTTTCTCCCTTCTTCATTGTTTTCATAGCTTTTGACAAAGCAGAACAAAAACACCCTATGCATTAGGAGGAATAGTGGGAGGCGATCCAGATTCACCATATGTAAGAGCGGGAGGAATTGTAAAAATGGATTTTTCGCCTTTTTTTCATAGTCTTGATACCATCGTCCCACCCTTGAATCACGTGTCCTGTAATAGCAAAAACGAATATCAAGAAGATTGCAGAAATCGACTCATGGGTAATGTTCCAAATAAGATTACTAATTTAGAAAGAAGAATTATCGTGTGAAATTGCTCAGAATTACTCTTACCAAGCCCGAGCTTGAAGTTAAATGGCAGCTCCCGATCGAGGCTTGAATCAAAACGAGTTCCATCGAGTAAACTTCCAACATAGTGAACTGTAGAATTGAATAGTGGGAGGCGATCCAGATTCATCATATGCAAGAGCGGGAGGAACTGTAAAAAGGGATTTTTTGCATTTTTTCATAGTCTTTATACCATCGTCCCACCCTTGAATCACGTGTCCTGTAATGGCAAAAATGAATATCAAGAAGATTGCGACAATATACAAATTTAGGGTTTCCTGTGAAACGAAAATCAACATACCTCCATTTTCGATCGAAATACCTGATCAATAGCGTTTGATTTCCGTTTTCGATGATCGATTTGGTTAAATTGTGATGAGTGGAGATGAAATCGTTGCTTGTGACGAGGGAATTCCATGATTTGCAGACTGTACAACATTCGAGAATGAAACTGAGAGGGGACCACGCTTATTTATTTAGGTATACCATGATTATAGGCATTATTTTTGGAAGTTACTAAACAAATTACTAAATTACCCTTATTTATTTATTTAATTATTTAATTTTTTATTTTATTTTGATTTGCCCACATTGATGCATACAATAACACAATAATTACTTTTAACACCTGAACCTAGCTATATATATATATATATATATATATATATATATATATATATATATATATATATATATATTATATATATATAAATATTAAGGTTTTAATATTATAATAGTATAAGGGTTGAATTTTACACTTTTAAAACTCTAGGGTTTAGAAATTAAATATTTGAAAATTAAAACTTTTTAATCGATTTTTTAAATTCCAAAACTCGAAGGCAAATTTTTAAAGTTTTCAAAACTCTTGGATGAATTTGAAAACAATTAAATTAATCATATAATTAACTATATCACAAAATTGACGTAATCTAATTTCATATAACAAGATGATTCAAATCAAATTCTACAAATAATTAGTTTTTTTCACAAAAGCAAATAATTATCTTAAAATTTGACAATCATCATTCAATTGGATGAGGATAATCATTACCTTATAAGAAAAATCGAATTTTAACAGTCAAAACAGTTTGTGGTAATGATCCTAATCCAAAACTGGCCAAAAATTCGAAAAATATGCCAACAGATGATCCAAATCGTCGAGTTCATGGCATTGAATCGTCGAGTTGGACCAACTCGTCGAGTTCCCTCATGGTGAAGGCAAATTTTGCTCTGGTGAAGGCAACCCAAGAGGACCATGCTACTATCGGGTCAAGTACATACCAATTATAGTTATAGGCTTAGACACCTAATCCGACTGATGTGCCCTTCCCTTTGCAACCAGAACCAGAAGTACCTGAAACCATAAACATAAAACCGCAAGCACAAACCATAGTGAGTTCCCGAAAATACCACATATCATACATATCATCGGGCCTAGCGTGCACATTGGGCCCAACTGTGACAATCCGAAATTTTTGTATTGTACACTTATTCAAATCAAGGAAAGTCAGACTCGTTTTTGCTATTGTATAACACTATTTGGAGTCAATTAGAGTGTTTAAAGCCTAGTATAATCAGGGTATTAGTCGTGGGATGAGTATTGTGGGTGTATCACCTTGCAAATGAGCCAAACACACCAACACAAGGTGTGTGCGGCCGCACACAAGAGTGTGCGGCCACACACCCATCCCAGCCGCACATTCCCCCTATATATAGAACACTTAGTCATTTTTGAACACTTTTCCACTTCTTCAAAGCTAGAACTCGAAATCCTCTCAAGTATCATCCAAATCTTCATCTTGATCTTCATAAAAGGTAGTAATCCTTCCTTTTATTTGTTGATATACGACCTTAACTAGCAAAACCCTTTGGTTTGATCCATGAAAACATCCATTTTTAGTCAAGAACACCAAGAACACCAAGAACACACACACTAGTTTTGGACCTTAAATCACCCTTTCAAGCCTCTATAACGTGCATACACTTATCATAACTGGTTATATGCTAAGAACACTTGATGATATACTAAAAAAACATGATTTTATCATCTTCATAAAGGGTGTGCGGCCGCACACATCACGGTGGCCGCACACACCCTTTTTAGGTCCAAAAATGGCAATAAACTCCATGTAAGGCTAAGGCATGAAGTAAGAAACCTTCCTAGATGAGTCCTTAAGCCTTAAAATACGTTTTGGCACATTCCATAGGGAGTGTGCGGCCGAACACACACCCTGGCCGCACACCCTGGCCGCACACACACAAATGTTGTCATTTTGACCATACACTCCCTTGTATAGCCATATAACCCTTATATACAATCATATATGGTTGTACACTTCAAAATAAGTGTTTACTAGTCCCTAAGTTGGTTCCAATTCAATAATTAGTTGTTTTAAGCACTAATTATATTCATATATGTATCTTTATATGTTAAATAGGATTCGTTTGTGCTCCAGACATCAATTGACACCCAACAATCTTATATCGATCTTTCATTCGAGTTACTCACTGTAGGTGAGTTCATACCCCTTAATCAACCTTTTAAATGATTTTAAATGCTTTTATGGGGGGGGGGAGGGAATACAAGTTGAACCATTATAGTTATTATATCAATCACATGTGATTAATAACTACCAAACACGTAGATTTCTTACTTTTCAAACTGTGTTATCAAACTGTTTTACAAACTCTTTTACATGTCAAATACTTTTATTAAACTATTTTAAACTTATACTTTGTCAAATGTGTATCTATATAGATATAGTTATATAAGTAGGATTGAAAGGACTTGGGACTGATAGCTCACCTTGCTTCCTGTTCCTTATTTGGTTGTGGACTTAGGGTATCGGTTATTTGTCCGAAGGTCGTTTGAATCTTAGTTATATATTATGTATATGTGTATAGATATAAAAGTTCCTTCATTCAGTTCAATACCTTTGGGTAGCAAAGGTATACAAACATGTTCATACATACAAACAACATTACTAGTAAACTATAATAGGGATAGTTTAGGAAGTTACAATACTATTAGTAGAACAGTGAAACATACAAAGAGTCAGTTCATACATGATTCAATAACATACAGATAGAGAATACTATGATGAGAGAACAAACATTACCATACAGAGAGAGAACAAACAATACCATACAGAGAGAGAACAAACAATACCATACAAAGAGAACATACATACATGCTAGACAGAGAGAGAACACACAATACAGCTAGCACATACATTACATATACAAGAACATTACTACAGTTATGTGAGCCACGTAACGGGGCATGGCATCACCTGTCATGGCCCGTTTTGTATCCAGAATCTCCTTAAATGGAGAGCGTTGAGTTTGTGTATAGATCTATACTGGATTGACTATCCTACACCTTGCTGCTCGCTACAGTGGGACTTGCAAGTCTACGGGTGCCAAACGTCATTTCTTCCGACGTCTAACATCGTCGTGTTTATAGTCGATAGTATGGTACAGGCCGATCACATGGTACTTTAAATAACAATTGGTTTAAGGTATTTAGTACAACAATAGTTACTTAGTACAACACTACAGTACTATTTCATTTTCCCATTACATTCACTTTGTGATCTTCACACAATAAACAATAATGTAAAAACTATATTTTTGGTTAATGATAGTCAGATTTGGGAAAATACATACTCTTACAAGAGACACACACACAACCACTAGATGCCTTGGTAGAAGGCTACTGTTACTAGGAAACATAGGGTTTTCTAGGAGAGTTCAAACAAATTACAAACAATTACAAACTTATACATTACATACTTACAAACACTTTCATACGAACTCAGACACTAATATACTTATGATCTCACCAGCTTTAAAGCTGATAAACTCTTTCAAAATAACTTGTATTCTCAGGTCACCAGTAGACAGGTACCGGTGCCAGGTTTTGAGAAGATGGAGCTCGTTCAAGACTCATCTTTTATTTTGATTCTTATATTTTTTGGTGTCTATAAACTTGACTAACACACTTGTATGAAATTATATTATTAATGAAATGGATGATGTTATTGCTTATTTAGTACTATGCATTGTTGTGATACTGTACATGACGTCCTCCACCCCCGAACGATTCCGCCGTTACGGTTTTGGGGTGTGACAGATTGGTATCAGAGCATTGTTTATAGTGAATCGAGTGTATCAACCCATAAAAGATATACGAACTATAAAAACAGCGGGATTAAAATACTCTGATAAAGAGTTTATACTTTTAGATAATTAAATATTTAACCAAGTATACATACCTGCATTCATACTAAAATCAGTGTCATTAGGACAGAACAAAAGTATTACGATTGTTGGGCAACACAATTAGACTTAGAGACATATGGTCAACCCTGGGAAGATATAGCCTGATCAACTATATTATCCGAGGAGTGACTAGCATGTGCCTAAGGGTGGTTGTGAGGTTGCAACAAGTCTAAAAACTTACCAACACTACTACAATGAAAACATTAGAACAGAACATAAACTTAAAATACTATAGGAGTATTTTGTGTTACTATAATTACTTATCTGGGAACTAAAAAGGTCTTTATCAGTAGGTCAATAATTGCTAAGTGGATACACTAAGGTTATATGTACTAGGATGTCATAGACTTAGAATATGTGATCTTTGCTTTACTTCCTGTTCCTTGTTTGGTTGTGGGCTTAGAGTTAGGGCCACTTATTCGAAGGTCTATCCTGTTTTAAGTACATATAACTGGTATGCACTAAACAAGTATTGAAGTAACTGATGAAGATCATCTTATAATTATCTAATTAGTTCATCTATTTTAGTTATATCTTATATCCCTTTTCTCGCGTAGATAAAATGGCTGGATTCCATATTCCCGGAGACCCATACTATCCCAACAACGACAATGCAGGATGGCTGGGGGAAGAGCCAGAAGATGATCACCCAATCCCTTTGGATGATCACTATGCTGAGGGCTTTTCTGATGATTCTGACTCAGAACCTGAAGTCAACAACCTACCCCCAGCTGCTCAAAACCCAAACCCTCGTCCAGCATTTCAAGGACCCACACCTCTGTGGGCAACAAACTTGAATGGATGGAGTCAGGAACATGGTCAACCCATTCCCTACAATGGGGACAGAAGCTTTTACAACCTCACCGAGGGAGGTTCAGCTGATCGTGTCCTGCCCATCATGGTCCGTAGGATTTCTCGGAACACCGAACAAGCTCGAGCAACAATCGACCGAGTATTGGAGATTGACGCCTACTCTGGCGTTAACACGGTCCGCATTCGCCAACTAGAAGTAGCTATGGAAAGGGCTAGGATAACCAATGGGACTCTGCAGCAACAGCTAACTGCATCCCAAGCTGAAGTTGGGGAACTTCGGGCTAGCCAGTCAATGTATGAAAGGCGCATGCGAGACATAGAGCGCCGTCTGCCTGAATCAAG